CCCTGACTCAGGTGGCACCAGTCGCCCATGTCTCATATCTTCTAGAGATGTGCTCGCTGGCGTCCATGATGGGCTATTTGTGTCTCTGGTGGGCTTATAGCTCTGGGAAAATGGAAGCTTGTTGCCAAGGGTGGCTGGCTTTCGTGAGACCTGAACATCAGCACAGAAGCGGAAAGAGATCTCAGTCATAGTGGACTCCAAGATGAACATGAGTTGTCAGTGTGATGGAGTCATCAGCAAAGCTAACCGCACTTTATCATGCATCAGCAGATGCATGACAAACCAAACCAAGGAGGTGATACTTCCCCTCTATACAGCATTCGTCAGACCGCAGTTGGAGTACTGCGTCCAGTTTTGGGCGCCATACTTCAAGAAGGATGTTGATAGACTCGAGAGGGTCCAGAGGAGGGCCACTCGTATGGTTAGGGGCTTACAGGACAAGCCCTTTGAGGAGAGAATGAGGGACCTGGACCTCTTCAGCCTCCGCAAGAGAAGGTTGAGAGGTGATCTTGTGGCCACCTACAAATTCATTACAGGGATGCAGCAAGGGATCGGAGATGTTCTGTTCACCAGGGCACCTCTTGGAGTACCAAGGAACAATGGTCACTAACTGACAGAGAGCAGATTTAGGCTAGATATCAGGAAAAATCTTCATGGTAAGGGTGACCAAAATCTGGAATGGGCTTCCAAAGGAGATGGGGCTGTCCCCTACCTTGGGGGTCTATAAGAGAAGGCTGGATAAGCATCTGGCTGGGGTCATCTCACCCCAGCGCTCTTACCTGCCCAAGGGAGGGGGTTGGACTCGATGATCTTTTGAGGTCCCTTCCAACCCTAGCATCTATGAATTTATGAATGAATCTATGAATCATGTAGCATCTCAGCCCCTCCCAGCCACCAATGAACTTATCCTCATACCACTCATACAAAACACCACCCCGCTTTACAACAGAAAGCAATGGAGAGACAGCGCCTTTTCCACGGTCACACAAGATGTCTATGGAGGGAAATGCATCCAGATCTCTGTAACCCCAAGGCTGGCTCCTTGTCCACAAAATCAGCCTTCCCTTCTCTGAATTGAGGGGTAATATTAAGGACCATTTTGCACTGTACCCTCCCAAAACACTGTTTCATCCAATTCCGGTTTCTGTGGGGTGAAGTCCTGCTCCAAATCACATCCACGTGACCTCTCTGCAGCCACTGGGGACACACAGGTGTTGCAGGGCAACATTTGCCCCTTATCACTCAGAGCAAAAGGCAAAGGGAGTAAAATTTCCTTCTGATCCTGAAGGAAAGTCACTCCAGGGCAGGAAGGAGATGACGGTGGGAATGGTGGGTTAGATTGATCTTTGCTGAACAGGGATAAATCCAGAGCAACTCTACTGAAGGAAGTCACCCAGATCCTGGGTCAGATGTAAGCTCTGACTTTCCCCTAGCCTAAGAGTGAAGAAGCAAGGAGATTAAAACCCCTCTTTCCTCCAGAGTGAGTGGCACTTTGGCACCTGGGTGCTGGCTTACGAGTAGAGCAGAGCAGGTCCCTGTCTGGTCTACAGTCAAGATTTTTCCTTTGCTCACCTCTTTGGTTTTGCTGAGTCCCATCCAGAGCTTGAACCTCTTCACAAAGAACTCAATCATCTCATAGTCCTGTGGCTCGATGGCGGGGCGGTACATTTCAGCTCGGACGCTGCGGTAACTGTGAAGGATGATAGCACACAGGAAGCGGCTGCTGAAACAGAGCAAGCTGACCACGTAGCTGAGAATGTAGACAGCTCCGAGGATGGGGAAGTCCTGGATCAGGGACTGGAAAGCCATGTTCCCGTGGAGGGCCGACAGCAGAGCATGGAAGGCACATGGCAATGTCCTGAACTCCTCTACTGTGGCAGAGAAGGCCTGGGGATGAGACAGAGGGAAAGCAGGGGTTAATCACTTGCAAGGGTCCCATTTGCAGCTAGAACAAGCGTCTTGATGCCCACCTTGCTGGGCTCATCTGATCCCTGCAGTCTTTCCTGCTCAAGTGCAGGGGGGCTGGACCCGATGATTAGTAAGGCTCCTTCCAGCCCCTAACAACTATGAAACTATGAAACATAATAGCACATATCCTCCCCACCAGAACAAAGGACTGGTCCCCTCTCGTGCTTCTTGCTGTCTGATGGCGTAGTGCAAAGGAGGTGGCATATGAATGAATATGAATCAACAGAATCTGATCTTGTCCCAGCAGAGAGTGGGTCCCTCTAAGGCATGTTTTGTGGGGAGTAATGAAGGGAGATTAAGGACTAAATGGGAATACAACTGCCCTTGGGGAAGGGCAGTCCTCCATTGCAGAGCTTATATTGGGTCATGGATGTTCTTCTCGATATATACAGGGATGCGCTCTACAGTGCCCAGCCCAGTTGGGAGCCATGATGACGCAGAGCCTGATCCTACACGCACTCGAGAATTGACCTTGGCTTAACTTACCAGGTATCCACACTGAGCATAGATGAGGAGGAGCAGGAGGAAGAGGAGCGTGGCTGCCAGGAGCTCCCTCTGGGCATGCTGGAATGTCTTTCCAAAGGCCGACCATCTCCGGACGAAGCGCAGCTGCCGCACGATCTAAAGGGAGAAGGCCCATTGGGAAGTGGGAAGGCTTGTGAGATGTTATCAGAAGGATGAAAATGCTATGAGAGGTGTTGTTGGAGGAGTCTGCGTGGCATCATAAAACCCAATGAGCAGCACGTTGGCACAAGGGCACCAACTGTCTCCTGCAGACTCAGTCTATGTTACGTTACAGCCTCACCTAACATCAAGATGCCCAGTTGGAACACGGTTGTTAAAAGCTGTAGCCCAGGCTACATGTTCCTAGCCTGATCCTGTTCTTCTTTGGATAAAATTATGGGATTGTTCAGAGTTTTAATCCTGTTATAGGGTTAGGTCCAGTCCACACTGACCATGTTTTAGGCGGATCAGAGAACAATGGAGGTTTCTATGGCATCCTCAATGAATTAGCCAGATGGACACAAAACATGGGGTAGTTTATCTGCACACCCTCTTGGTTACAGCAGTGTTTCAGGGTATCTCAGCTGCTTCTAGAGACCTCCATCCCTGCCTGTTTCTGGAAGAAACCCTATCCCCTCAGTTGTCCAGGAGGCGGGCTTCATGGTCTCTTCCTCTGCACTGACTACAAGCTCTGGCTTTCTGCAGCCATTATTTATCTGTTTATTTGCTCATTCTTTCATTGTCTGTTCATTAGGGAAATAACAGTCAGCAGTGAACCATAAATACCACCAGCCTGGGAGAGAGCAGATGGGCCACTCTGCAGATTCATTAGGAAGCAGGAAAAAAGAACGAAGATACTATTACCCCTCAGCAGCAGCTCCAATGACAATTATAAGGTCATTGCAGCATAATTTAATGCACAGGTATTAACGAGAAAGGATACATCATCCAGGTCATTAATGGATCAGGCCTGACACAACGAGAAAGGATACATCATCCAGGTCATTATTGGATCAGGCCTGACCCCCTGCCACACCCCTTGCCACCATGCATCAGGGCTGCTGGAGGAAGAAGGATCTCTTGCAATGGTGGAGGTATTATTACAGTGACCAGATGGGGCCGGAGCAGCCAAGACACAGTATAATGGAGTGACATGCAGTGGAGGAGCAGATCCAGGCATCAGCAAGCTGTCCCCAGCCCAAAACACAGACACAGAATCTCCCGATTGACTTATTTTATTGAATTGAGCTGGTAAATCTCACACAATTAATGGAAAAGCCACTGCTTGGGTTTCAGTTTCGCTCTCTGGTCTACTCCTGCTTATGTCTCCATTGGAAGCAACAGTTGGGGACTTTTATCCCAGGAAGCTTTGGATGGCTAGCAGCAAAGACTGGGATCTTTAGAGACACCATGCAGTAGACATCATGTTATATTCTCCAACCTCTAGGCTTTCTCTATTCCCAGGTGCCCGCCTGTGCAGTAGGGTGCAGAGGAAAACTTGAAACAGCCTTGGGTATAACTAGAATCAGGTTGATGTAATAGAGAGCTGAATCTGAATCTGATATGTTCTTAAGCATGACATCCAGATGGGCTCTGTAGCAATGGGCATTTGGCAAATGCCAAGGGTGCCGAGTAACACGTCCTTGACAGCCAACAGGAAAGCTCTCTTGGTAAGTTTAATGGGAGATGTGTTAAGTTCTTAATCAGCAACTTTAACCAGTTGGAGAGACATCTATGGAGACACCGAGAAGGACTGGCTGATGCACTGGCACTGGGGAATGGAAGTCTTGGGTTCTTATAGATATGCCCCCAGCGAGCCACACACGTCTCCATGCACTCACCCACCTTCAGCATAGCAATGGTCAGCAGCAGGGCAGATAGGTTGACTTCCATCTGGGCCAGCACTGCCACTTCATAGAAGCTGGTGAAGGCCTGGCGGTGGTCCCAGTAATGCTGGAGCCGCACCTCCGCCAGCCAGATGCGAGCAAAGTGCAAGGCGCCAACCGTAAGGGACAGCAGTGCCAGGAGCAGCTGGAGGCCGCAGCGGCTCTGCCACAGCAAGGAGGCTCCCTCCCGAGAGAGGAGAGACAGCTCTGACAGCAGGAAGGCCACACTGAAGAGAAGCAGGGAGATCTGAAAGAAACCAGAATAAGTGGGAAAGGGAGCTGCCCTCCTGTTGCAGTGCCCCATGCTGACTTACATAGAAAGGTCAAGAGCAGATACCATGGAGATGTGGGAGCTAGGGGGCTATATCTGGAGCTCATACAAATGGTGAAGATGAGTAGTTCTTCCACACAGGAACCACCCCAAGATGGGGCATGCTATTCAAAACTAGAGTGGGAGGAACATTAATTTAATTCTTCTGGCAATCAGGTGTAGCCTTGAGGCCTACTGTCAATAGAAAGTACATACCACCATGGCAAGTGGCAGGTCCAGACCGGTGCCTAAGCTCAGCATTTGGAAGGGGAGGATGATGGCTGAAGAAACAGCTGGTCTGACTGATGGGAACTCAACCAGAAGCACCACTGCCACATACAGGTTAACATCAGCGTTGTACTGAGTGAACTCCAGAAACACAGCTCTGCTCCTGTTGGGCAGGGAGAGAGAGAGAGAGAAGCACAAGGGAAGGACTTAGACCCCAATACTGCATCTCCTTCAATCCCCACTTGCAATTTTCTGAGTGCCCCAGGTGACTTGCCTTTCATGGATCCAATTGCTAGCTTGCAGGTCACCCAGAGTCCTCTGGGCTTTGGCAGAACTGTTTCCAAGCTCCCTCCAGCAACCGGCATTGCTGTGGTAAAGTCCCACATGTCCCCAGATCCAAAACCTGCCAGAAGAAACCGGGATGGGAAGAGAGCTCCAGAAAGGAAGCTGTAAAGTGAAGAGCAGGAGAGACTCTGGGGTTTGGACATAGGGCTTGAAGTCTCAAACTGTGATGGGGATGGGTCAGACCTGTGTTGACACAGGAGAAAAACCTAAGAATGTTGCAGTTACAAGTGCTAAAAAATCCAATGGTGGCCTAGTGCTTCCATATGGTGCTGGGGAATAGGTACCATCCAGTGGGTGATGCGATCTGAAGTTCATGACCAAAGGCATCACAGATTTAATGGCATATTCAGTGAGAACGTGTACGTCTAATCCTGGCTAAATCCCAGCCTAGGGAATAAGCACTCAGTTTCCTTTATTTGCAATGCTGTGGCATACTCCATTTCTTCAGCCACGCTGCTGTGCAGTGGTTTCTGTGGGATAGGGGACAGTGGCTATGTGTCATTATTCCCTGTATATGTACCTATCTGAGGGGGTTGCTTTGGAAAGGTGCTGAGAGCATCCTGAATGATGTTAAAAGCATCCTCAACACCCACCAACATCAGTGGGAGCTGTGGATGGGACAGCAGCGTGCAGGATTGGGTGTGACATGCTTTAGGTTCCTTTGGGATGAAGGCTGCTCTCTAAACATAAGGACTGTTATCAATGAATTCATCTGAGACTCATGGAAATTGCAGATGTCACCGACCAAGGTGGAGGTAGAGAAAGGACTCTGGGATAAATCACATCTCTGTGGAGTCACCGTGTTGGGTCATTTGAAGGTTTCTTGGTAGCAGCACAAGGGAGACCTCCCTGCCAGTTCTAGACAGGCTTGGCCAACAGGGTGAAGCACCCCAGAGCAAAGCCTCTTGGCTGAATGCCGGCCACGTTTCTGCTCCCAGCTTCTGCCCAGCACCCACCCCTCTCTGCACTGGCATCCTTACCCTACGGAGTCATGGGACACATTCTGAACGCAGGGATTGAAGCTCGTGCCACTGTCCACTTGGCTACCCAGGGAAGCCTCTGGTCTGAGTGCCGATAGGTGCCAGAGGGGACAGGTTCTGTTGCTGGTGACATTGTGTGTACAGAGAAGTCCAAGCCCAGGCTGGGGGATCCCTGAGGGTGTTGAAAAGGCAGAGAGAGATTTTGAGTAAGATCTTGAAGAGCTGCCCAGTTTGAAAGTCCCTATTCTCACCCTCCACACCTGGACTATGCCCCCCATGTTTTTCTGCTATGTCCTTCCTAGCCCATGGCTATGCCTCCACCTCCTCCAACCCAGATTTCCATGAGGGATCATCTAGGTTTTCCTGCATTACTCCTTCCAGTTCAGCCCATTCTTCCTTGGGAGATGCCTCCAGCCCAGATCACTCTAGTGACAGCCTTCTTTGATCTCCTCTTAGCCAAAAAGGCTCATCAGAAGCAACACACAGTGGGGAGGTCTGGGTCCTCCAGTCCTTATTATGAACAACCTCCCACGGAGTCAAGGCTGGAAGATCAAAACCAGGAATCTCCATCAAGGACCTTTTGCAGGAGCTCGGTGTGCTCCCTCTGCCACTAAGATTCACTGCCTGGAGTTGCCCAGTGCTGCCCTCAGCCACTGGGATGACCCCTGATTTCCCTTTCCCCATCTCCCTGGTAGCTCTGTTTTCTCTGAGTTCTACCATATGCCTTCTTCTCTTGTCTATCATTCCTCTGCATGCCTTCGTCTGTGTGCCTGGTCCTCCAATCTCAGCCCCGTCCTTCCTTTCCCAAAGCTCAGAGTCTGGGGAAGCCTGACCCTTGGAGTAGTGGATGTCAGAGTGATGACCTCCTCCATCCACCAATCTTACACACCTTCACTATAGAGAGAAACCAGTTAAAGGAACTCCAGTACTCCCAGCAGTGGTGAGAGCAGGGAAATGGGAGCCGGGACTGCTAACTCCCCGAGTGACCCCAAGCAAGTCAGAGTCTTCCTGTGTTTAAATGTCCACATCAGTAAAATGGGGACAATGCTTGCCTTAGGGTCTATACTCCTGTCTAACTAAAATGGGGTGGTCGAGTCTCTCTGGCAGGGGCTCTGGTTCCTGCCTAAAAAACATCTCCAGGACTATAGGACTGAACTCCTACTGCCTCTCTCAACATGTCCAACTTCATAGAAATCATAGACAAGTAGGGCTGGAAGGGTTTTCCATAGGCTATCTAGTCCAACCCCCTGCCTGAGCCAGGATCATCCCTATCCAAACCAAACTTGGTGCCAGGCAGCACCTCAAGTGAATTACCAGGACTCCCGCGCAGATCCAGAGGTACATTCATGATGGGGCTCTCCTGCCGGAGACGAGGTGCCCCCACCAGGATCAGTCGGGGGTTGCTGTACAGGTAGTTCAGCACCACGGAGTCTATCCACTCCCACGTGTCAGTGGGACTGCAAGACAAAGGGGTCACTAGATAAACAGGTGAATTCAACCCACTGAAATGTAACCAGGGCCTGGGCAAATATACCCTGAAGTGCCCTTACTCCCACCCTGGCTGTAGGGTCATGATCTGGAATCCCAGACTTCATTTTTAAGACATGTAGCTTGGTGTGCCTGATGGCGGTGAGGAAAACTGTGATAACACAAGCTGGGTGCAAATCAGTGTAGTGCTGTCTTCCCTGAGTCTACAGAAAGTCTGACACCAACTCTGTAATATGGGAATGGCCTGTGGCTTGATTGCCAAGTGATAAAAAGACCAACTTAAATAGCAACATGCTTAACCCTATCACTTCCATCCCTCATTACTGTTTGGGTTGCAGTAACAGCTCAAGCCCCATTCACAGACCGAGACCCCACCGTGCTTGGTGCTGTACAAATACGGAACAAAACCTGAGGCATCCCACTAAAAAAGTTGCTTCTCCCATCCCAGCCTACCTTCCCCTCCTTTCCAGGTGCCCAAAGTCCTGACTGTTTGATGCCAAAATCTATGATTTTTCCATTGCAATGTCTGCAGCATGATGATGATGAAGAAGCACTCGAAGGCTTCAACCAGGTCAGGACTACATTGTGCAAGTGCTGTATAAAATCGACTGCTGGTGACTGCCCCAGGCAGCTTGAATGATCCTTTCAAATCCCCACATTGCAAGGAGAATTAAAAGAAGGTTTGTATATGAGACATTCAACTGGATGTCAAAATAAATAACGCCAAGGATCCTGCACTGGCTGTGACTGTTTTTGTTATAGTCATGACTATCGAAGGAGTTTTGTAGTGAAACGGCAATGAGCCATCCCTGACCTTGCAGCCAGGTAGATCCTAAAGTCACTGAGACTCTGGGCTGTCTTGACAAAGAGACAGAGAAACCGCTGTACTGGATCATAGTGCAGCTCGTGCAGTATTATTCTATCTCCAATGACCTGTACTACTACAGATGGCAGCTATGTTATAAACTAACTACGAAAATCTCCTTTTTAAGCCCCATGAATCAGTTTGATTTATGCCAAAAGCACAAGTCTGTGGGGCACAGAGTGCAATGAGACCCAAAGGCCACTGGAACAAATAGCTGCTGCATCCATACCCTGCCAGAGGTCCTCACCTGTGCATGGAGGTAAAGTTCAGGCCCCTTTCATTGGTGGCAGTGATGGCTTGTTTGACAGCAGTGTGCAGGAGGCGGATGTTGCTGTCCTGGAAACTGCGCTGGTAATTAATGATCAGAACAACCAGGAGGAAGAGCATGTGGGTGAGGCAGCTCTGGGGAGGGGAGGAAACAGAGGCACTGAATAAAGACAACGCTTTAGCACACCCAACCTGAGATGAGAAAGGGGACTGAGATGAACACAGGACACCTAGCGGACAGAGCCCAGGGCTGGGATGTAGATGACCTGGATTCTATTCTAGCCTGTGGGGTGATACTGTGCCTCACTTTCCCCATGTGTAAAAGCAGAGATAACAATTCTGATCTCCCTTATAAAGCATTTGAAGATCCACTGATGGAAAATGCTGCAACAAGAGCTAGTGATGATCATTTTTTTGATTACCAAAGCAAGCCAAGGGTCAACTCTAACCTTGTCTTCAGGAATGACCAGGCCCAGACACTGCAGCAGAAGATGCTGGAAAGCCATCGGGGCAGTCCTGGAACTGCCTGGGCTTGAAAACTATTTTCAAGCCCAGTTCTGTAACATCGTCCCCTTTGGAAAAACAGCCTGAGGTTTGGATGAAATCCAAAGAACTTCAGCTATAGTTATAATTATAACTTATATGGCTGGTAGCTGAACGCATGCTGGCATCTAGTGGCCAGAGAGGGTCAGGACAGTTGTGTCACCTCCCAGACAGCCACCACATGTGTGATGTGAGTCAGTATCTTTTATTGGACTGATATGCAGTTGACAGAGAGGTTAGACAAGCTGTGGACCAAAAATGCCTTTCCTCAGGTCTGGGAAAGAAGCAGACAACAGCCTCAGTGAAACGTCAGCTGGAACGATTACTTTTGTCTGACTCCATTACGCTACAGAAAGTCATTGCTGCTCCAAGGCAGACGAGGTTCTTTGGGTAAATCTGATATCTTTTATCAGACCAACTCAAATAGTTGGAAAAATTCTTCTTAGCAAGCTTTCAGGTACAAAACCCTTCATTGCTGCTCTGACACACACATGCACACATGTCTTCTCTTCATATCTGGTAAAAAAGACCATCAGTCCAAAATAACGTAAGTCAGTCCAATGAGAGATGCTGCACATGCTGCCTGGATTGAATGCAGGCACTACCCAGCTGTCTGCGGTGACCTCCAGCTCCTTCTTGCTTTCTACAATATCTCAGCTACAAGCACCCACCGTGTATTTATACCGCTGCATTTGAGCTATGACTGGGCAGAAGGGCTGGGACCAGTTCCCAGTGGGTCCCTTTGACTAACTGGAGAGGCTGTGTTCAGCTCCCTGGGGCTGGGTGTGGTGATGGAGCATGAGGAGAGGGGATCCCAGTTAAGGTTAAGGTTCCTCAGAGCCCAGTGCGATTCCAGGATTGGGGCTGCACAGTGCACATGGACACCCCTGTAGCAGCACACGGCAAAGTAAATCTGCAGGAGCACATTACCCTCATCAGTGCTTGCAGTGCCCGCACTTTTCTCGCCTCCTCCTTGGCCTGGAGCAGCCCATACCCACAGGGCACTCGCACCTTCCCAATGCGCTCAGGCACTGGCTTCACCAGTGGCTCCTCCACCAGCCCCTCTGCTTCACTCTCCACTGGCTTGGTGATGAGAGCAGCTCGCAGGGCCTCCAGCACCACCTGAGATGAGAGGATAGTACAGAGCACGTGGGCCTCAACTCTTCAGGCACAAGGGACTGGTCTTGCCCTGGGAACACCTGGCCTCTACAGCCCAGGGCATACAAGGTCCTGTCACCCTCAAGCTGCAGAACAATGTCCAGTGGTAGAGGTGGGGAACAAGGTTTGCCCAGAAGAAAAGGAGAAGAGCTTGGGGGAAGATCAAAGCTTCCAGCCTCCACTGAAGGCAATGTGCTGGCCCCAGGCAGGATTTCTTGCCTGCTGCTGGCTCATTTGTGTGATTGTGGGCAAAAGCCCCTTCCCCAGAAGGAAAATGAAATGGGTGAGGGAAGGGACATCATCCCACCTTAAGGGTGCTGTGAATTAACCCACAGTCAGAACGTGACTCACCTGGAAGAGGCTACGGAAGAGCAAAGCCCACCAGGGTAATTGCCACGTACCACACTGGAGAATGCCCCCGGGAGGGGCTGTTACCTTCAGGGGCTCCAGCACCACAAAGGAGGTGATGAAAGAGAAGACAGAGGAGATGAGCCACATAAGGGCAGCAGGATCCTGGAGGGAGGAACCGTAGAGGATGATGATGGTGAAGCAGCCTGCTACAAGCGTGAAGATGAAGGCATACGCCACGGGCAGCATCCAGCCAGGAAACAGCCACTCTGGGGGGCGTCGGGACACCCCTGCAGGGAAAGAAACCAGCTCTTTTCAGTCTTCATTCTTGGTTAGACCACGCCAGACTTGAGAGGCTCACCTGGATGGACTTCCCTCAACCCCCCAGCCAGCTGCAATGGTCACTTGGTTAATACAGTACATTGGCCTTGCAATTGCACTGAGCTTCTTTGCATGCATTCCCAACAGCACAATAAGCTATCCAGAAGAGTTAATACAGCCCAAAGTAGGAGAAAGGGGCTGTTATGGGGGTTTTCACACACAGCAAGCCACCAGTCTGTAGAGCTGGGGTTGTAGGGGCTGAACCAGGTGACTCCACCTGAGATCCTGCCTAGCTGCATTTTTCTGTGATCCTGCTGCCCAGATAACATTGACCCCCCCTGTCCACAAGGTCAGCACCAGGCATTTCTAGGGTGGCTCCCTTTCCCCAGGGTTATCACGCACCGATCCGGGTGGAAAAGGAGGATGCTGAGGCAGATGGAGGCTCTGGGTGTGGGAGAGGAAAGCTGCTGATGCTCATCATGGTGGAGATGTAGGAGAAGGACTTGTGCAGGAGGCCCCAGCTGCTCCTCCCCAGCTCTGGGATCCCATCAGACCAGCCACTGCAAGAGCTTTTCACACAGTACAAGAAAGACCATAGTCAACACAGGCCCTCCTAGCATCATCACAGAGCCTCGAGATCATGGGAATGAGGCCAGAGCTCCTGGCACCATCCAAGAGGATAGGGATGAGGAGAGCCCATGTGTTTCCAGTGTCATCTTAGGATGTACGGACTGAAAGGGGCTCTGAGCTATGCCAGAGCTCTAGGGAGTTGGTGGGCCACACAAAGCTAAAACTCAGAGAAAGTAGAGTGGAAATTCTGGACTCTGAATTGCAAATGGCCACACAAAATATCAACACTGGGGATAGGGACCAAGGGGTTCATGTCTTCTTCAGCATGATCTCCTCCTCCTCCTCATGGTCTCTGAGGAGATCAACATTTCACAGCCACAAGCGACCATTCCTTCTGGTTCTTCCTTCTCAAACCACATACGTACGTGCTGGAGATGAGCTCCACCTCAGCTTGTGGGGAGAACCTGCCGCTGTCGGATGTGATGCGGTCTGAGGAATTACTCTTCCGAGTCTCTGCAATGATGGAGTTGAGCAAGTCTTCCTCTGTTCAGTGGGGAAGGAGAGAGGAGGGCTGTCAGCAGAACATGTTGCTGCTGGGCCAAGACCAGCTATAGCCTAGAACAAGAGTCAAGCCTTGTGCTTAGCTCTGTCCTCAATGGCAAAACTAGCTGGGTGCGTCTTTCCATTGTAGCAGCAGCATTTGTCACATGAAAGCTATTATATCACCTGGTGCCTTCTGCACTGGAGATGAGGAATAGGGACTGGAGACAGAAGGGAGGGAGAGGGAAGAGGACAGGAAGGCCTGTTCTTTGAGGTACCAGAGAGGGTGAGGTGGCAGCCGTGGCTGGATCTCCTGCTGCCCTCAGAGTCCCCTAGGGAGAAGGACAGGGGATCATCATCTGATGCAGACATAGATTCAATGCCCAGCTTCAGCAGGGCCTTCTTCCTCTTGAGGATATGACTTTGAGTCACCAGGGGGTCTGAATGCAGAAGATCAGGGACATCTAAGATACTGTCGCATGAGGGCCAGTGCTTCACAACCCTGCGGGACAAAAGGGTGATGCATTCATGAGCTCAAACCCCCAGGGCAAAGGACATCCCTTCCAAGCCTTAGTGGCCACAGACTTTTGTAGTGAGACCATTCTGTGGTTTGCCAGAAACCATCTTCCTGACAGTCTGGTCATCACTAATGAATTTTCCATCTGCAGCCTAACCACTAGACTGTTTTAGAAACATGTCACTTCTGCATGAATCTCATGCTTATGATATGTTTTCCCATGTTCTTTACATGGGCTGTTCTCTCATCCCTGTGATGGAGGAACAGTGACCTCCACCCCCCAAAAAGCCCTTACTGACATCAGTCTCTCTGCAGTCCTACCTACCTGGAGGAACTGATTGTGGACAAGAACCTGTCCCCTGTTCCACCCCCTCTGCTGCAGATGTACCTTTCATTGCCCAGCTTGGTGAGGTTCTCCCGGGTGGAAGCTGGTCTTGTACTCACAAGGGACCCCTGAAAAGAAGATGATGAGTATGTTCAGAGGACCTAGGATGGGACCTGGAAAGTGTGATGTCTGAGGGATGTTCTGAGAACCGATCAATTAACCCTCCGCAGGAAGCTCTGTCTTCTGAGAAGTCATCTTTCTGAAAGCAGTTGTGTGTCCATAAAGACACATCTCACCTGGTACGACAGCTTGAGAATCAAGAAGGTGCACACACATACACCCATATGCCCCCCAACCTCCAGGGGACATGGAGTTCCCCTCTCCATCTCTCCCCAGGAGAGGCCACTTTACTTACACAACTGATGGAGCTCATGTCCATGATGGACTCCATCCCTCCTGGTATGGACAGGAAAGAAGAGCTGCCCAGATCAGAGCGATCAAGGCACACATCCATCTCCACGGTCTGAGTGTCCTGTGCAGGAGGGTCAGGGTCCTCCACAACCACCTGACAGAAACAAGAGGTCAGCTGGAAAAGCCCTGCCCAGATGCTCTAATCATATTAGCCGTGGGTCTAGAACTGGGGTCAGCTGCAGCTGGCAGGGATTTTGCAAAACAAATCATCATTGGACAATTCAGATTTGTCAAACAAACGGAGAGGAACAGGTCAGTTTGGATGCATTTTCCATCTCAACAATGTTTTATAATTGTCCAGACAACTCAACCAATGTCTTTTCCAGCTTTGTTTGTGGAGTGGGGGGCGGGGGTTGTAAAAAATGTGATTTCCTGTTCCAATGGACAAGTTTCTAAAAGCTCAAATATTCTAATTTTGGAGGAAAACTGTTTCCTGCACAGGCGCCCTGCCTCTTTGTGCTAGTACATCTCCTTGTCCCACTAGCATATTTTGCAATATGTCACAGGCGTACACAGTAGGCCTGTGCAAAGTGGCTAGTATTCGCTTCGGATTCGGCCAATTCAGGGGACAGTGATTCAATTTGGTGATTCGAATCACTGTCCCAAATCGATTCGGCTGGATCTGATTTGGAGATTCGGCTGCTGCCAAATCTTCAAAATCGGCCAGGCCCATCCACCCCAGCCGGGCAATGGCTGCCCCACACAACCCAGCTCCCGGCACTTAAAAAAAAAAAAAAAAAAAAAAAAGCCCCGACTCACCGAGTGCTGCCGGGCAGGGGGCGATCCCCATTGCCCCCCCACTGCCCCACACTGCGTGGGGGCTCTTCATGAGCCCCCTGACCTCCCTGCTGTCCCACCTCCCCCCATGGCTGCCCCGCCTGCCCCAGCTTCGGCCCTTTAAGAAAAAAAACAAAACCAAAAAACCTCTGAACTCACTGGTTCCTGCCTGGTGGGGGGTGATCCCCGCTGCCCCCCACCTGCCCTGTGCTGCATGGGGGGGTGTCTGCATGAGCCCCCCAAAGCCTTGAGGCCACTGCAAGAGCTGGTGAGTTCAGGGGTTTTTTTCTTAAAGGGCTGGAGCTGGGGTGGACAGGGCAGCCATGGGGCGGGGGTTGGGAGAGTGGGGGGGCTCATGGAAGAGCCCTCCCATGCAATGTAGGGCAGTGGGGATCACCCTCGCCCAGCAGCAGCTGGTGAGTGGGGTTTTTTTTAAAGCACCAGGAGCTGGGACATGTGGGGCAGCCATGGTGGGGCTGGGGGAGCTGGCAGGGGATGGGGCTGGGTAGGGGTCTGCCCATGGTCCCCTCCCTCCTCCTCCAGCCCCCACTCCCCTGCCCCTACGTACCAGCTCCAAGTCCGTCTCCAGCTCCCTGCCCGAATCGCCAAAGCTCTCCGAATCTTTTCCAAATCGATTCAGAGAGCTTCGAATCAATTTGGACCTTTTTTTTGGTCCCTGATTTGATTCAGATTTGGAGATTCAGCTACCAAATCAGGCCGACTCTCCGACGAATCGAATCAGCACCCGAAGCTTCACACAGCCCTAATATACAGTCATTGGCAAGGACAGACAAAAGAGCACGTGCGCCAACAGAGGGCATGCACAAATAACATTTCATCTTGTTCTAATTTTCTATCTAATTCCAACCAACTCTAATTTTCCACTTCCTTTGGCTGTGTGTTTCAGGCTACAATGCCTGTAAAAGAGATGGCAATATTTCAAAGAGTATCTTTAAAAAGATCACAGGAACAGAGTGCCCTTGAAAAGGGATCAGATAGACAACTTTGGAGACTGCAGCGTGCTTTTAATGTTTAGTCACAAAACTGGGACAGTGCAAGGGTCTTCACCCTGATCGTGCCAAATGTACCCTTCTCTCACTTGATGTGGGTAGAGAGGGATCTTTGGCGGGTGATGTAGCAGGTGGGAGGAGGCTGTTGGGACATGGCAAAATAGTTAGTACCTGGCTGTGGGTTTTCCTGAAGATGAAGGCGAAGAGCATCTGGACTGGAAAGACCATCACAGCCACCACCATCCCCACAACTATGCTCTCTGCCGTCATGGAGGTCTGGCTCCCAAGGGGGATGCTGGGAGACAGAAACAAATTAAAGGCAATAAGATGGAAAATAGAGGAGTTTTCCATTAACAGTTACAGAGCACTGGAACGTGGGTACCTGGTACAGAGATGCATTTTGCACCTCTGGGAACAAAGCTGTTGTACAAAGCATCCCATGTTCGCTCAACACCTGACTTGCCATTCAAGTTTGGATTTTCCACAGAGTTTGAGGGAATTAGGTCCTCAAATCTCATTGTGATCCAGGGAGGATTTAGGTGCCTCAATGCTGCTTTGATGCTTCCTTCGCCAGTGACTTTAACCCTTGAGTTTTCCCTTGGCTCTTTCTCCATACATCCCATCCCTCCCTCATCCTCACCTTGCATGACGCACGTCTGCAAGACCCCACCTGGGAGGAGCAGGAGTGCCAAGGGACCCACCTGGAGCCTTCCACTCCAATGGCACTGTACCAGAGCATACAGGCAGCCAGGAAGAGGTACGCCACGAGCAGGCAGCAGGTGATCCTCTGCACCCGGGTGAAGCGGCTGCAGGGAGGGCGGGCCCAGACTGAGAGCCACACATGCCAGTCAGAAAAGCCGAGGCGCAGCTGGGCGAGGAACACCCGAGAGAAGCTTCTCAGCTCCTGGGGGCCTGAAGGCAACGTAATGGGAACACTCAACCAGATCTTCTCCTCCGTCCTGGGGGATACTTTCCTCTTTCCCCCAGGCTCTAGTGGCCTCTTCCATGGTCACCAACACCATTCTTCCTCCTCAGTCACCACCTAAGTTCTCACCCCGCTGTTCTCTCCAGCAGCCCCCTCTCCACCACTATTCGTATGAACTTCCTCATCAAAGTTTTGGACACCCACACCTATGTCAAAGACACCTAGGCTCCCTCTCCACCCCACCCTTTCTATTGCCAGCATAGATCATCACCTATGGTCAAACTCAACGTGTAGCTTCTTGGGCAGGGCCCTGGACTGGGACTGAGTGCTTGGTGGGGTCTTTTCACAGTTCCCCATAAGGCCTGTTGTGGGGCCTTGGGCAAGCAACTGCCCTTGTCTGTGCTGTTGCCTCCCCTCCCCAACTTGGTTTAGTTAGATGATAAACTCTTCAGGGACTGTCTTGCACTAGGTATTTGTATAGCACCAAACACAAAGGATCCTGGATAGTTAATATAATAACGGTGATAAGTGGAGCACTGGGCTTCCCTTAGACTAGACCTCCATGGGACAACACTCACATGCAGCCAAGACCACCTTTTCAACCATCCCTTCGTTCTTCTCATTTTCCACCGACAACCAGTCATCCACCAGGAAGAAATACATGTTGTCTGTCTGTCTGTCCCACACAATGACATGTTGCAGGTACCAGGAGGGGTCCAACCCTGAGGGTACAGAGAAGACGGGAGAATTAAACAGCTGCACTTCCAATCACCAGCTCTTGATCAAGCTCAGGAAAGTTCATGCCAAGAGACATCCTCAGCTGTGTGAATGCTGCTTGTGAAATCTTATTGGCAGCAGGAAAGCCCCATCAACGCAACATGTCACACACCCAACCTAGGTCTGGGATGTGGTGGGAGCATGGGAAGCAGATGACGTTCAACAAGCTAGCTTGCTGTCATAAAATCTAAACAGCTCTGCAAGGTGCCTTACCAGTGTTATCGTGCCAGATACGGATCTTCCAGATCTCCCCCAAGTTTGCATTCGTCTCCACCTGGAAAATATCATTGCTGTTTCTCTGGAAGGCCCAGCCTTTGTCCAGGTGGCGAGAACCACTTTTATTCAGTCCGTATAAGCTAATCCCGATATGTGCAGTTGTACCTGTAGAGAGATATGAACTGTGATAGTTTACGCTGTATCTGCTGTGTCCACTGGAGGTCATTAATTTGTCCTCTCACAACCACACCTTACTCCCAACAGCTGAAATGACAGGTGGTTGGGTCTTTGGTTTCACCCAAGTACCTCTATTTTGATGCCAACAAAAATGCCATCAAACAGGGTGATGCAGAGTTTGGTGAGGGAGGTTCTGGTTTCTCTGTTCAAGGGATGAGTAAGGAGGGACTGCCATCCTATCATGTTTCCAAAGTCATTCAGCCCCAGGTTCTCCTCTTTCCTCTGTACTCAGTTATACCCCATCCCCATGGACATGACTTCACCAATGAAGCCCAGCCTGGATTTGAGAAAGCCCAGCTCTTCTGGCTCTCCTCTGCATGTTCCTTTACTTCTGGGCTTTTTTTTTTTTAAAGCTCCTTAAATTGGTGTCACTCTACAGCTGCTGCACCAGAAAGATGAAGTACCCAAGAAGCTGCCGCTTTTAGGATGCTTTCATTTCAACATTTGATACAGGACTTCACAGCCCCCTGTCCCTGCCCATCACTATACCTGATCCTCTTTTCCAGCCAGTCTTCACCATTACCCAGTACTTGTACCTCCCGGGCTGGCCACAGCGAGGGATGATCCCCACCCGGGTGATGTCAATGTCATCCAGCTTGTGGGCAATCAGCACCATCACCAGGTAGATGGAGAGGAGCACACAACAGGTGATCACCACCAGCGGTGTCTGTCTGGAGCGCTCACTCTGCAATCACAGTATTGGGGAAGGTAGAACCACGGGGAGAAGCTGCTTCTTGTGTTAACTGCCCACCCACCCCAGAGGAGATGCAAAAGCCACAGGGTGCACCTGTGTCACCTCTACTTATACGGCGATTCTAACATGCACATCATCCATGTATCCGGGTACCTGGACTCCTTCAGTAGCAGAGTGACTGTGGATCCTATCGATACAGATCTATCCCCCTTTGGAAAAGATCTAAAAGAACCATCATCATGCAGGACCAGGAGGGAATAGTTCCTCAGAGCTCCTACATTCGGTCACAAGAGAGCAGCTCACTACACAGCTGGAGTCACAAGCTCATGGGCAGCAGCCAGCATGGAACTGCAAGCCTGGCACTTAACTCAAGAGCAGACCCAGCTTCCCAGAGATGTGACCAGACATTTCAATGCAGGGGAAGTGATCAAGCGACATGCTGTCGGA